GTGTCGTCCACGCTTGGAATGGCAGGGGGTGAACCCAGCGTTAAGTTCGTCACAGACACACAAGCGTACAGTGCTAGGGGGAGGACGAGAAAGACGCGCCCGATGCCAAGATTACGAACGCACACGTACGTGAATGCGTTAAATTCGATTGCGTGTATGGTAAGCACCTACACTTCATTATACGCCTAACTGTGCGTAAAGACAGTTGCGGCAATTGCAGTGGCGGTGGACCCTCACTACAGGTGAAATGACAATGCACGTCTGCGGTTGAATCGCGCGCTCGCACACACACACGGATGCATACCGAAGATACGAATTGGCACGTGACACCAACACAGGAGTAATGAATAAACACGCGCGTGCACGCATGTGCTAGCTTGACGAAGCACACAGCACACACCAATGGTTAGTTCAATTTCCTATTTGTGGAATCCACCAAACTCCGACGTGGTTCTAAAAGATCGACCAAAACCCAATATCAAAACTGTCAGCGGAAAATCCAGGATTTGAATGAATGCCAAGCATTTCCATCCGATTAGCTTATAACCGCCAACATACCCCATTATTCTGCCGTAGAGATGCAACGAAATCATCCGGGACGTATGTACCTCCTTCAATATTGCCTCGCCTTTTCTTTTGTCGCTTTATAGTCTCTCAAAGCGCCCTGAGTTCGCTGGTACCACAGCCGTACTCAGATTGTGGTAAACAAACAAACACGTTTTGAAACTGGTTTTATTTCATCTGGCACAACATCACTGCCAGCAACCTCTCGGTTATCCAACGAACTTATTTTTAAGACTGTGTTCATTGTCACTAGCTTCCAGGAATAGAAGCTATCCCTCACGAGGATGTTCCAAACATAACTAAAGTCGGCGGGACAGATCGATGTACATTGACAGCAATCGATGGATTCATTTTACTGGAATATATTCGCAATGGGTGGTCAGGTATTTATTTCAGTCGATGGAGGTCGATAAGTGGCAACAACACAAGCTGTTGGTATCTTTCAGATACCGACATGCCACAAAAAAAATCAAAATACAGGAACAGGAACATATATCTGATTGAGGAGCATAGCTGTGCAATATTTTGATCTCCATTACAAAATTTCATTCGTGCGGAGGGATAAACAGACCTTCCGTTTGTAATTGAAAACTTCTTGTGACTAGCGGTCGGATTTAGGTAGTTTTTCGATTTCCACTGACCACATCATGCAGAATTCCTCTCTAATCACAATCATCAGCTCATCGATCCAACTATTCATTCGGAACGCAAAAGACAGGAGTTGTTCTTCTGTTAGTGCTCGTTTTGGATGCATGCTTCACCTACAGGCTCATTCCCAGTTTGAACTCCTCACTTCACTTTACAACTTCCCTGTCTCAGGGTAGCACTTTGATTAGTCATCCCCCCTGTGAAGACCGACTGTGCAGTTTTGTATTCCATAAGATATAGTAGAACGATAGATCATTCTACTCGGGAGTAGTGGACAAGCAAATTCATCAAATTAAAGCGCAATAATCACAGTATGTGAGCATATCACGTGGCTCCCGCGCTTATTCGGATATGCAGTCTTCTTATTTAAATTCCATGAGACTCACACCATCAAACAGTATTTGGTGGAGTAGTCCTGTATCAGAATAATTATTGCCATTTTTACGGTATTCTTCGTAGATAGAATTTAGTGGAACAGTTGGCTTAGCAGTGGTGAGGTCGGACATGGACTATCAGGGAGTAGTAGTAGAGATTGGGTTCTGAAGAAAGTGCCTAAACAATTGCAGCACGTGTTGCATACAAGTTGTGAGTGTCTCGGACGGATATTGAGGAGGGGGCTTACTTCGATTGTAAGGACTAAATAGTGTCAGATCATGCAGTGACAGCCTCGATCGAGTTGACCCGAGAGAGCGTTTTAACGATTAACCCAGATATATAACCTCCTGTAGCACCAGTAGGCAGACAGAAACTTGCAATGATAGGTGAGTGATACATGCTCACTAATGGAAAGTGTAGTCATTCATAATGCATTATGCAGTGAACTTTTATTTTGAGGTCGAAACACCAATTTGTTCAGAGCCTGTTGTGAACGCAAGCAGCGACGAAAGGAATACGGTTTCAAATACATATATATATATATATATATATATATATATGT